GAGACCCAGCTAGATGAGCATAATAGTAATGATATATTGCACAATATAGAAGATCATTTTTCAAGTGATGATCAGAATTTCGCTAACGATATTTCTGAAAATAAGTCAATTAATTCTAATTCTAAGTGAAAAGGCCATGTAGATAGAGATAATATAAATACACAAAAAAGAATTCGTAAGTTAAATAAACTTTTTTTTGTTTTTATATCATTATATTAATTATGCAATTTTTTTCTTTTTTTTTTTTTTTAGGCCTTATTTTCACTATTAAAAATATACAAGATGTGCAACTCTAGTTGGTTACCGTAATCCAAGAGATCTAAAAAAAATTACTGAAATACATACAGACTAGAAAGCTGTTGGCTTTAGTTGTTCAGAAGATAACTTTAAGTAGATAGAAGTATGTACATAAATGTTAAAGACATATATTAACTTTATTGTATAATTTACTAATTTCTCTGTTTGTATCAGGATGCAATCGACTATGCAATTTATGGTATAATTGAAAAAGTAAAGTATCCAACCAACAAACGCATTATGGAAGTTTCTATAATGTATTACAGATACAAAAAATGATGAATTTCAAAACAAAATAAAAAATTGTGGTTGGAAGTGTTTTTTCAACAAGCATGTTCATCTCTTGGTAAGCAAAATTGAATTATTGTGTTTATAATAACTATTTAATCTTACCATTACTATTTAAACAGGCCCAAAGGTTTGCCTACTAGACAAGAAGAAATATAGTCCAAAGAATCAAAGATACTATTCATACTGAGTTTCCAGATCTCATAAAGCCTAAAATAAAAAATCGACAAGTCACATGTAAAGAAGAACAAAAGTTCAAAGATGCTAAAATTATATGGGAATGTTATACAAAATTAAATAAACCCATTGATGCTAATGACAATCCACAATACACTTATCTTAATCTGATCATTAATCGTACTTTTGCGGATCTAGACACAGAAAAAAATTCTATTGCATTTGGAATGGCTGTAGCCCTAAACTATCTTGACCTCTCAAAGAGAATTAATATGGTTTTAACTGAAGTCATAGATCGAATAAACTACATTCTTGAAAAGATGCAGGTCTCGGAACTCGAAGAGTTGTGAGCAAAAAAAATACAAGTATTGATAAATGCTGATGCTTCCATTGCTTAAAAGTTATCAAAATAAAATAAAAAAAAAATAAAAAATACAATGAACAAAAAAATATAGAAAAATAAATAATAAAAATAAATAAATAAATAAATAAAAAAATAAAAAAATAAAATAAAAATCATGAATCCAAGTACCATATTGCTATATCTAGCAAAATATTTATTTACAGTCTATATATCAAATGTTTTAATTATAGCTATGCTTGCTTAAGTTTTAAATATTCATTTCAAATATTTAGATATACAAAACAATATATGCAGTAAATATGATGATCAACTTGTATTTATTTAATATACTGATTATAAAAATCAAATTGCTATAATATCTGTTTTGTAAATATAAATCTATTATCAGTATAACCTTAAATATTATAAATTCAGGTTCATAGATATATTTATCTTTCAATTTACTTTTCTGCAAGAGGTCAAAAAAGAATAGCAGTTTGCTCATCTTTAGTAATTTTGTTAAATATCCTAAAAAAATTTTTTATTACAATATTTATAAAAAAAAAATCACTTTTATTAGAATCGATTAAGTGATTTTTTAAAAATAATTTTTTTTAAAAAAAGGCACAATTTTACGATTACAGTATTAAAACCTTTGAAATTATATAATAAAATTTTAAGTTATACAAAGTTGAAAAACTGTTTCAAGCTGATATGCATTGGTGTAAGGGTCATACTAATAATAATCATCAACTAACACTATTTGAAATACTATTTTGCTTTTAATTATTGATCCCTATGAAAAATATGTGAACTCAATACTAGTAGCTCTACTATATTATCTCTTTTTTTCAAGCATATGGTAGCAGAGTTTGAATGTATTAATTGTGAATTCTGATCACGATCTCATGTGTTAATAGATTATGACTTTTAATATAAATATGATTTGTACTACCAACTAATCATTTTATTCATTCTCTCTTTTTAATAATTGGTTCGGTACATTTTCATGAAAAATCACATTATAACTATTTGTGAATAATAAAATTTTATGAATTAAAAGGGAAACCTACTAGATTATCCTCTATTGGATCTTTCAAAGTCATGAACTCAGCAAGTTAGTTATTTATTGAACGAAAGATGCGTGCTTTTCCATTTTCACATTATTAGTGAATTTATTTATTAAAGCTAACATACACTCTAAATATCAATAGGTGATATATTTACTATATGTTGAAAAAGTATGAGTTCCGTTGGAAAGTTTCTGATCATCACTTGAAAAATGATCTTCTATATTGTGCAATATATCATTACTATTATGCTCATCTAGCTGGGTCTC